GATAGGGTGTTCCACTCCCTCATGTGTCTGCGTGAGTACAGCAGCCACAGAGAAGGATGACGCGTCACTGAGAATCCTAAAAGGCAATGAGTAGTCAGGCATTTTCAAAATAGGAGCGGAGACCAAAGCGGCCTTCAACAGGTTGAAAGACTCTTCAGCCTCACGCGTCCACTCAAATGATACATTCTTAGAAGTTAATTTACATAAGGGTTTACTAATCTTAGAAAAATTGTTTACCGAAACGGCCTATACCACCCAGCCATGCCCAGGAATCTTTTCACCTCCTTAGCATTGGAAGGTGTAGGATAGTTGAGAATGACATCAACTTTACCTGGGTCTGTCCGCAGGCCATGCTTGTCAACATAGTACCCGAGGTATTTCAATTCGCTACGACAGAAATGCGATTTTTGCATGTGATCGTGAGACCCCGCATCCTTAAGGCGCTGATAGACTCTATGTAAGAGGTCCACATGCTCCTCCAAGGTGCTGGCCACAATGATTATGTCATCCTGAAATGCGAATACCCTATTGTCGAACTCGGGACCAAATAGGCGGTCCATGAGGCGTTGCATCGAAGCTGAATGCTCCGATGAGACCGAAACACATAACGTTGTACTGAAAGAGACCTCTTCTTGGGACAGTGAAGGCGGTCTTCTCGGCGGATTGAGGCGAGTCAAAAGGAATCTGCCAATACGCCGCACTTAAATCAATGGAAGTCAAATACCTTGCATTATTGAGATGGTCTAAGATTTGGTTGATATACGGCAATGGATACGCATCGCTCTTAGATACAGAATTGAGCTTACGAGAGTCAAGGCACAATCTTAGGTCACCATTCGCTTTCTCCACCATCACCACTGGTGAGTTCCACGCGGACTGAGATGGGGTCACTACTCCCATCTCCAACATCCGGTCCAGTTCCTCTTCCAAGGCTTTCTGTTTCAGGGGAGAGAGCGGATAGTACCTTTGCTTGATTGGCTTACTGTCTCCTGTGTCTATGACATGATGCACCAGAGATGTTCGACCTAAACCAACCTTGTCTGTGTTGATCGTATCAAACTTCTCAATAATGCAGTTAATTACCCGCTTCTGATCGGCGGTCAAATTGTTGTAATCCTCTAGACCACTGTTAAGAGACAGAGCCTCCACAGGATTACAGTCGCTAAAGTTGGAAAGATTGATATTCTGAGAGATCAGTCTATTCCCCAATTGAAACTGTTGCCAGAAGTCTACACCAAATATCATGGCAGTAGTAATCTCTGGAACAACATAAAACTTAATAACTCTGACAGCAGAATTATATTCAATAGGCAAAGAAATACAGCCCAGACATGGCAAATATGAGCCGTCTGCTGTAGTTAGGTTAAAGTTAGGGCTGATGCTTTCAAGCTCAAACCCTAATTCAAAAAAAATGTGGTGCGCTCCCTTACCCAACACAGAGCAAGCTGCACCCGAATCAAGTAACCCTAGAACATTTAAGTTCAGGATCTTAACTACTAAATACGGTCTTATATCATTATCCCGTTTGGTAAACAGGACCCTATCAGAGTGATCATCAGACAGAGAAACTCGCTCCGACTCGACTGGTGATCTTTTAACAAGGCCCTGACTTACTCGTTTTTTGGCTTGGCATTGCATTTCGGACACTCAGGTGCTCTGACTCCCTTATGTCCACACCGGAAACACACCACATCCCTCGACTGTGTACAGCTGGAGGCAGGGTGACCGCCACCACCACAGCGGAAACACTTGTGTGCGCTCGAGGTCGAAGGACGGGCCACTGCTGAGACCTGTTGAGAAGTTTTTTGAACATATTTATTTTTCATATGGTGTAAATCCGAGGTGATCCCACACCTTTCGAAAGCTGGTTCCCGAAATGCCTCAGCCCTAGCACGCGCAAGTTCAAGGCGCTTCCCCAATCGCTTCAGATCAAATATAGATTTTACGTCATGAAGGGCCAATTCCTTCATGTAATCGGGCCTGATGTTGTGCATCAAAATGTCCAGTTGCTCCTCACTGGGCATCTTGCACGAGAGTCTAGAGAACATGGCCTGCATTGTAGAGATGTAGTTGCCCAATGTTTCTGATCGGGCCTGTGTACGCTGTCTGATTTCATTGCGGAGGCGATAATCATAGTCAGGAAGGTCGAAGGTTTCTTTCAGCTCCTCTATCATGCCCTCATATGAGGTGAAAGTCTCCTTGTTGGTGCGGTACCACGACAAGGCCGGACCGTCCAATAGGTCAGAGAAGGCTGTGAGGATCTTATCCTTGGTGACTTCCCGAGCACATCTGAGCTCCTCTAGTCTCTCAATGAAGACACGTACACAAGAAGAGCCATCATATTTTATATTAAAAGAATTTAAATTAACGGGTCTATCCCTTACTATTATATTTGAATTAGGGTCGGAACTGGATGCGTTGGGTCGCGTCGAGCGGTCCCCCCTTACCACAGGTGAGGTGTAACCTATGTGGTCGCGATGAGTAGGATCGGTCTCCTTCTCCGAAACCTCAGAGTCCGAGTCGGTATCTGATTCAGACACTGCCAAAACTTTGACTAAGCGGTCACGGATGCCTATTAGTTCTGGACAGTCTAAACCACACCTGGCTAACCTAGCGAGAAGATAATTAGCCCTCAATGCAACTCTAGTACGACAATTTTTATTCGAAACAAAGTCACCTGAAGAAAGGACCTGTTCCAGCTCAGAGATCTTAGGCTCGCAGACAGACAACTCAGAGGCGGCAACAGCAGGAACAGCGGCGATGGCCTTAATGCTGCCACGCCGGATAAGCCGCAAAGCAGTACGCAGTTCAACTCGCAAGCCGACAACCGTATCCTCCGGATTCGCTGAAATCCCCATGGCAGACAGTTCATTAATAAGTTCATCCTTTTTAAGGTAGTTAATGCACTTACGTAAATGTGCCATGGTGGTTTACAATTTAAATTCGATTATACAAAAATAATCCTAACAAGTTAACAAACCAGTAATGCAGACTTAATGTCTTTTACAGTTCAAAAAAATAAAAAATAATGATATTGAGTAGACTCCTTCACTATCAACAGAGTGTGAGAAGTTTAAAGTAAATTAATATTTAAAAAATATTATAACAAAATATTAAAACATCAAGTAATATCTCAAAGTAAAAAAATATTGCTACTGAGTATATTTCTTCACCATTAAGTGTGAGAAAGCTAAAGCAAACTAATATTTTTAACAAATATTAAAATAAAATATTAAAATATTAAGTAATATTTCAAAGTAGAAACTGAGTATACTTCTTCACTATTAAGTGTGAGAAAGCTAAAGCACACTAATATTTTTAACAAATATTGCAATAAAATATTAAAATATCAAGTAATTTCTCAAAACTTGAGAAGCAAATTCAACTAAAGACAAAGATATTCTTGTTTCACAATTCAAGACACAAGTTATATTATCTTTAGAACATTAACACAGTAATCCAATGAATTGACAAAGTTTAATTATCATAAAAGTTATTTCAACATAAATTTTAAGTAGGGTATGTATATCACAAAACTATTTTATTCTAATTTTAAGCCAAGAGGTTATATAAAAAAAAAAGGAGGGTACATAAAACTTTATAAGTTAAGTTAAGTTTCATGTAAATTACACCAGTAGTACTGGGATAAAAAAACACACTGAATATACACGTATGCACAACTTCACGCTACGGACCTCAAAGGTACGAACAGAAGTAGCTAACACAAAAAAAAAAAAGAAGAAAAAAAAACTAGTTAGGCCAAAAAATGTTTCAAACTCACCCGAAATATGTGCAGTAGGAATTTTGAGTTAATTTGGAATTTAGGTGTCTCACTGATTTTCCTTGCCTCAGGGATGATGGTACTATAGGCTGAAAATACAATGAGGGTAAAATTATTACATGCGTACTGCACCCGCACAACCAATTAACGTCCTGGGGAGTATCGGACGGAGGGAAGTGTCTCCTCCAAAGTGAATACCCTCAGGCACCCTCACACAGCACACACACAGAGGTTTGGATCACTGGCCCCACGTTGGGCGCCAATTTGTAGCCGCTTTTCTTCTCAGGCGGACTACTCACCGGCTGACCCAGTGGAGAGATCTATGAGATTACCTCAGGGCGCCTTCTAAGAGAAAAGAAGTGTGTGCGTGTGGGAAACCTACGGGACTCTTTAGAGGAAAACAACTTACACCTCAGTCATACATACATGTATATTTCAAAACAAAATTAAATTTACAATAAAAAAAAATCAGAGGGTATAAAAAAAACCGCAGCGGAGCGCGTCAGAGCCGAGCTGATGGTGCTCGGTGCCTCCTCGTCGTCCCTCCAGGAGGTTACTTCCTCTTCCGCCCGAGTCAGCTATTTATATTGGATATGGATAAAAGTTTAACAAATTTGTAATTATAAGTTTAAGTACGTAACTCTTGGGTACGGCTGTCCGCTTGCGTCGTGAGCCGCGCAATCACCAGCCTTGCCAGAGTGTACCAAGAAACTTGAGTCTGTACCAGAAGGCCACAAAAGAGCAAGCACGCCGTCTGAGACTGACCGTCTTGAGCCCGAAATCTGGGACCCTACGAATGGATTAGCACTCATATAATTAAACAGGTACCAGAAACAAATAGGTTTAAGTAGAATTAAGAACATACTCACCACTTTAGTGTGGGTACTTTTGAACAGATAATATATTAAGAAAATCAAATCACACAGCAATCAAAACACTATATAAGATCGGAAGGCACGAGATAGCAGTGTCTCCCGTGGCAGAAAGCTGGACTTATATATCTTCGGTTAACGAAGCTTCCAGAAAATAACCCCTCTTCAACATTTTACTTTGACATTTAACATCAGTGAACACAGAAGATCAAAACTGTAGTTATAAACTACCTTAGATAAATTAAAAACAATGCAACGCGGCTAATAGATGTAGCTTTTAACAAGACCAACAAATGTACAAAAAAATAACTGTTACAAAAGATATTAACGCATTACACGACGGGCGCATGCGCATCCTCGACGAGCACCAAACATTTGATCGCTCTTACGTCGCTGTCAATGGCTTGTCTGTTACTGGAGTCAACTCACATGTGTTGCTGCATGGACATTATAAACCAAAGGTAAAAAAATAATATAAGTTATTGCTACTGCTATAAGTTATAGATAATTAGCTGTACCCTGCCATTGGTTGCATTGATGAGAAATGAGGAAAAAAAGTGATTCCAAAAGTAGATACAAACAATTTTTGAAGCAGGTATCGTACCGTACATTTCAGGTTTCAGGTATCGTACATTTTTATATACATAGGTTAGGCTTCTACAGTGCGTTGACTATGCCGTTACGCAAGAGAAATATCCCACAGTCCTTTGTGCCGTGCCCTAGTGTTGCGCACCGCAATACGAATAGTGTAATATTGCATGAAACTATGCAACTTATATATTTGTCTTTGTTTTCTTTTTTTCGTGCTAGCTTACTGCCTTAAAACTGATTTCTCTGTTTCCAGGATCTTAGTCGCTATAAGACCAGTATACCACACCTAGTAACTGTAACTGGTAGACACGAAGAAGCAGTGAAATGGCTACATCAAAACTTAAAATCGAACCCTGTAGATGATGAGCAGTTGGCGTTATTGCGTAATATACATAAAAGAAATATAGCGGGACATGTGGGCAGGGGATACATTATACTTCGTAAGTTGTTATACTTTGGTTGTTATACTAGTTGGAAATATTAATACGAGTGAAAGGAAAGTAAAACCGCTTACTTGTGATAAACGAAATGTTGACACTGTAACAAACCCGAATAATCGTTATACTATATTAATATGAATACAAAGAAACTAAAACCCCTTCCACAATTACAAAGTAAGAAAGCTACCCGTTGTCCATAAGTGACTTTAGTTTTAATAAAATATTAAAGAAATCTATTTATTACTAGTTAGACAAAAGTTAGACAAATTGTGATTGTAATCAATGTATGAATATTTAAATTTAATTTCTTTTTTTTCTTTTTTTTTTCATTCATAGTGAGTGATTAAATTTAAAAATTACATTAGTAAAAATTAAGAAACACACAAGAAAATAAAAAAATTTCGAGAAAATAGAAATATATCCAAGTGGCGTGCATTGGGAGAGGCCTATGTCCTGCAGTAGACTGCGATAGGCTGATGATGATGATGATCATAATGTAATAATTTAAGTTTAAGGCCGTAACGAACCTGAGTAGAATTAATAGTACAGGTGTATTGAACTACTTATAATAATAATATTTATTTATTTATCAAAAATAGACTCATATACGTCTTGTTTACAAATAATATTTCAAGAATATTACAAATAAAATAATCTGGCCACATGTAAACAATATTAGGTTCCTGACTCCCAAACTAGGTTTATCACCTGTGACTTGGGAGCCAGTGTTCCTCCATTATGACGTGGATATTTGCTCAAGCGTCTGTAGGAGTCACTCAATTGTGAACTTCTGCATATATGTGTTCCTTTTTTGTAACATCTTATTTAAGTGAAGAATTGTATACTAAAAGATATACTGACCAACAAAGATAATTTTAATAACAGATATCTTAGTTGTTTACTAACAGTTATCTTAGTGTACCATCTGTGTGAATATGTATGTGTACGTGTAGGCATTGAGTATGAGTGTGTGTATGTGTGTGTGCGCGCGTGTGTGTGTGTGTGTGTGTGTGTGTGTGTATATGCTATGAAGGGAAAATAAATATTTTTTCTATTTCCTCATAGTTTTGTTCAATCAACCATGTTTCAACTTTATTTTTACACTGATGAAAGTTGAGGCTGTGTATTCGAAGTAGTTTATTTATCTTATTGTATATTTTTTTACTAAGGAAGTAGAACTGGTGTTTTGCAAAGGTTAATACCTTTGCAAAACACCAGTTCTACTTCCTTAAGTGTCTTGTGGGAGAGAAAACTATATCCGCTCGACGTTTTTTGGCTATTTCTGTTGGGATGTGGTGTGTTCTTACTATACTTTGAAGCACATATAACTTCCTGACAGTCAGCACTTCACACTCCCTGTAGAGCCTCTCAGTGGGATATCTGTATGGCTTGCGAAACATGACTTTGAGTACGGCTCTTTGTGCTCTTTTGAGTTTAAGGAAGTAGGTCTTACAGGCCCCACCCCAAACTGGCAAACAATAGGTAAGCAAAGATTTACTTTATTTGTGGTGTTGTAGACAGGCAAGAACAAGTGCAAGATGAATACTTTGGGTATGCTCGACAAGTGTAAGCTTTTATAGAAATGGGTATTCTGGGCTGAGTTCGCTTCCCAATCGAAAAATTTATGACTTTAGTTTTTTTTGTGTTTAAGGTTAACGAATTATTGGCTAGCCAACTCAGCACTAGATCGAAAGCCGACTGGGCGTGCTGTTCTGTTTCTCGCCAACCTTTACCGTGTATTAACAAAGCTGTGTCATCAGCGTAGGTATAAACAGAACAGTATTCGAGAGGAAGTGAGCACAGGTCATTTATATACACGAGGAAAAGTGTTGGACCCAATATGCTGCCTTGGGGCACGCCGCACTCCATAACGGCCTTGTCACTTCTTATATCCCCTATTTTGACGTGTTGGTATCGATTTTTGAGGTAACTCGAAAATATATCAAGAGCCATACCACGTACTCCTATGCGCTCCAATTTTGATAAGAGTAGAGTTACAGGGACACTGTCAAAGGCCTTTGAAATATCTAAGAAAATTCCAAGACATTTGCCTAGCTGCGGTTTCAATTAAACCAACCACCGCGTCTTCCGTTGCAATACCGGGTCTAAACCCATATTGATTTTTTGACAAGATGTTGTTAGCTCGAAGATAAGCAAGCAAACGGGTATTTAGAAGCCTCTCTAGAATTTTGGACACAGCTGGTAAGACCGAGATCGGTCTATAATTATTTACACTGTCCCTGTCTCCACCTTTGAAGATTGGATGGATTAGGGCTATTTTAAAGGCGTCTGGAAAGATTCCAGAAGATAGTGTAAGATTGCAAATGTGGGTGATATAAGGAACCAGAGTCTTACGTGCTGTTTTAAGATGTTAGTTGAGATGCCATCAATTCCTACTGCTGAATGCGATTTTAAACTATTTATAATTTGTTCGACTTCTCGATAATCAGTTTCCAGAACACCCATAGAGTGGCAGGCACCGCGTCTTCCGTTGCAATACCGGATCTAAACCCATATTGATTTTTTGACAAGATGTTGTTAGCTCGAAGATAAGCAAGCAAACGGGTATTTAGAAGCCTCTCTAGAATTTTGGACACAGCTGGTAAGAGCGAGATCGGTCTATAATTATTTGTTGTTGTTGTATCGTGTGTGTTTCTGAAATATTTTGTGTAATGCTGTAATCAGAATATCTGCTGCTACATTTGCATTGTTGGCCAAAAGAACCGGTGAGAAATCTGCGCATTCTATGTCCTTCTGGATGCTTGTTATATCTAGTGTTTTAGTGATATAGGTTTGCTTAGACTTTGGTTTGCTCAAGTTAATATTTAAAAATACCGGTAGATGATTAGTGACAGGTGACTATATCACTATGGTGGTTCCCAGTTGCTTGGTTCTTAAGAGAACATGATCGAGGCAGTTATTCAGCAGAAGCAGTAAAAGTGAGATATTCATATGAATGTTTGTCTTTATTATTGGATTTGATATCAATATTGATATCGCCTACTAGAGCAAGATGTTCTAGTTTGGATAAGGGAAGCAGTGCAGTGTTCAGGCTATTCAAAAAGTTGTCAATGTGAGGATATGAGGGTGATCTGTACAATCCTAGAATGGCTACGCTATTATTGACTTTACAAAGTGGGCAGTTGGCGTCAGTGATTTCGGGTTCTGAGACTAAGCACTGTAGGGAACAGTTTGTGTACATTATATCGCCGTCATTTTGATTGCATGTGTTTTTTGTATAGTGCAAATTGTAGTCTTTCAAATTCGGTATTATAGTAGCTTTTCTTATCCAACATTCAGTGAGTACAATTATATCACATTCTAATTTTAGTTGATCTAAGAAAGCCACAAAGTTGTCAAAGTTTTTACTTATACTGCGAATATTTAGATGCAGTATTGACAGATGTTTCTGTGAACTTTCTACAATTTCTGAACACTTACTTGCCGCCACCTTATATGATTTTGATACTTGGAAAGCATCCAAATCTAAGGCAATTTTTTCTATATGATTGTCCATTTATTATAAAATGTATATGTATTTATTATAAAGTGTAATGCGATAATTGTTTTCGACTATTGCGCCTAGAATACCATCGCAGCTCTCTCGATTTTTTCGGGGTTATTAAAGTAAGGAGTATATGTGTAGAATGTAAGTGTTTGGTTTGTTTCGTATAATTTGAGTGTGTGTTAATAACGTTAAAATTATATATTTTAAATGACTGTATAAGTAGTGGAAGTGATTTGATGTGCGTGTATGTGTAATTTACATAGTTAAAAGTATAACAACTTATGAGAATACCTATTCTGATAACAAAACAAAGGAATGTTAATTATCATGTAGAATAAAAATAAAAAGTTGGTAAAAAGAGCACAATATCAAACATAGTCATTGCAGATCCTTTAGCTTCTCAAAATATCGTTCTGATTTTATATAAATCTGTTTATCACCCTCGGTTTTCCGCAAAAATACCTTATTATTTGAACACCAGCAAAATTTGTACTTGTTTTGGGTTGCAAATTCTCGAGCCAAGGTGAAATATTTTTTTTGACTGATGAAGATATTTGCTCGCTTATATAAATGGGGCGGTTTTCGCAGTGAAGACCTAGTTGAGAAGAATTGAGCTTTTATTGATTCTCACGATTCCTATTAAATGATCTAACTGCTGTGATGTATTTATTTTTTACTGGAACTGAGGAAAATCGCAAAAATAGGTCTTTTCTGTCGTTT